TTGTAGCAGGGACTCCTTTGCATGTTAGATCACACACCCCTAATGTAGCCAATCCTAATGAGTTTCTGCTGTTGGGTGTGGCCTATTATGCTAATGAGTTCCTGCTGGGCGTGGCCAACTTGGGAGCCAGCCGGAACTCTGTTCCTGTGCGTTCCTGCCCAAAAATAGCCCTGGCTGGGGGTATGCGTGTATTGATGAGTAACATACCATGTTTCCATAGTGAGGCAAAGAGCAGCCCCCTGGCTTTCAGGATGGGGAAACTGTGCAGGGGTAAATAGTGCAGGAGCTTTGGGAGCAGGGCTAGGTATTGCGTGATGCCAAGCGACACTGCAACATCACTTCCAGTCATCCAGTGATATCATGTGTTGCCATGACACCCCAGCAATTCCCTAGATCTCTCATTTTTTACCATGGGGGACTGCTAGAGCATTTCGCTTCTGCCACTGCACTGGGCGGCAGTGGGGGACTGGAGGCCGAGAGCGGTCGCTCTCCTGCTACAGTGGAAGACCTGGCCTTCCTATGCGGCGGGGAAAGGTCTGCATGTTGTGATCCTGGGCGGAACTGGCTCTTTGTGCACTGGGGTTCCCAATTCCCTGTTGGGAAATTCCTGGATGTTTTGGGGGTGGAGCCTAAAGAGGTTTGGGGGTGGAGCCTAAGGAGGTTTGGGGAGGGAAGAGATTTCAGCAGGGGAATGCCATACAGTTCGCCCTCGAAAACAGCTACTTCCTCCAGGGAAGCTGATCTCTGCAGTCTAGAGATCAGTGGTAATTCTAGGAGATCTCCAGGTGCCACCTGGAGATTGGCAACCCTAAGTGCACCTAGGAAGCACTTAAGAAGAGCCCTGCTGGATCGTGAACGAGTTATTTAGCTACTGCATGAATTAGTTTGCTCTGGAGCCACCCTTTCTGAGCTAAGACAAAAATGTGTGAGCTGGAGGCTAAAAAAACTGTGAGCTACCTCACACTAACTCAGCTTAGAGGGAACACTGCCATTGAATGTCTCCTTGCATTAAGAAACGGTAGTCTGTCCATACAGACCTGTTATTTTAACCTCTCGCATGAAGCTTCTCCTTCGTGTGCAGCCCCATCAGATTTGGTGTGGTAAAGTAGACCCATCCCCATGCAGTTATGTATGAAGCTGCATTATAGGGGGTTATATATACATCTAGCACAGAAATGCCCGCTGAGCAGCAATTCTCCAGCATCTCAAGCAGAAGTCCTGCTGCTACCTGAGATTCTTCACCTCAAGTTGGGTCTCTCTACATGGAAAGGATGCAGAACATCACTGGGGTATCATCCCTCCCCAGATTCCTTTCTGCTTCATTTACTCTTGATGGCAGCAGAAATCATATAGAAAACATTAGAATGTGCTATTTATTAATGGTGTGCTATACTTTTAATTTGAAAAGTATTTTACGAGCTAGACTGCAGGCTATTAATATTCTCAATTTACAAACAAGGAACTGGAGCTGAGGTTGCCAACCTCCAGGTGCAGTCTGGAGATCTCCCAAAATCATAACTAATCTCTAGACTACCCAGGAGAAACTGGCTACTTCGGAGCAGCCTCTATGGCATTAGACCCCGCTGAGGACCCCTCTCCAGATTCCACCTCCAAAAATCTCCAGGAATGTCATAGTTTAGAGTTGGCAACCCTAACTGGAGCCAAGAGGTAGGAACCTGCCCAAAGCTGCTCCACAAGTCCACTGTGAACTCGGCTCTTCTTTATCCAGTGAGGCAGACAGAGTGGCTCCTCTTACTGAAGAGCTTCACAGTAGGTACCTCCCTCCCCGCTTACTTAAAAGTAGAACAACCATTGCATCCCTCAGTTGCCAGAATGAGCCTACCAGAGACACTGCCAACCGTGCGGATCGATCTGCTTCTTCATCAACTAAGGCACGGATTTGCACTCCTGTCTCCCCAGTCAAAGTGAAGCTACCTTATACCAACACAAACCCCTCCAGCTCAGTACCGCCTGCTTTTTAACTGGCAATAGCTCTTCAGGGTCTCCGGCCGAGAATGGTTTTACTCAGAACTTGCAACCTGAATTCATTTAAACGGCCAGGTACTGAACCTGGGACCTTCTGCATGCAAAACAGGGGTGCTTTCTAAAGTCACAGCTCCTTATCTTCTCCACTACCTCACTCTGACTTGAAAAAACAAATGCTAAGATTCTTCCGTTGGGTTCCATTGAAGGAGAGACCCATCATGCACACTCACTAAGGGGCTTGCAGGAACTCCTGCCCTGACCACCAATGTGGATTATATTTAATAAAATTTTCCCCCTTTTTTAACCCAGCAAGGCACTTGCGACTTAACCACAGCCACTTCCACCAAGCAGAAATTCAACCGTACACAGAGCTTTCCCTGGCCTAGAATGGCAGTGATGGGCAAAGCTTCACCTGTTGAACGTCTGCTTCTTAGTTGTTAAAAGCACAGAAGTCCTTCTCCCTGAAAGAAGGAGACTAACCTTATCTATCTGTGTGTCCCTGCATGCAGCTGAGTTCTGTGTGCGCAAAAGCAGCCGGCACACGGGCTGCTCCCGGCTCTTTCTCCTGCAATGGACAAGGCAAACGGCTAACAAGAACATCTTACCTGCCAGGCGCTGCGTCCAGCTGTTGCCTCTTGCTCCTCTCTCAGTCCATGTGGGGAACCGTCCCTTTAACTTCTGCAAAACAAGCTTCTTGTTCTCACAGGCATCCCAACTCAGCTAACACTCCCCAGATGTGGGGCTGCAAGCGCCTGCCAGATGTTTCTTTAAAGCCGTAGTACCGTCTCTCAGAGAGGAGGAGAAAAGAGTGACGGGGGTGGGGGGAGAGGCCCACAAACACAGCCAGCCTGTTGCCAAAGAAAGAAGGAAAGATTTCTGCAGAAAGCGCAACAACCCCCGCGGGGTTCGAGTATAGCTGACCCTTTCCAATATTCCCAGATGTCCAATACTGAGTTTTGCACAGTTCATGACTCACAGATTCGTGGCTGAAAAAAAAAAGCTGGGTCGGGAAGCCAACAGACCATAATCGCACAAGGCTAGGGCAACACGCAAAGGAAACTGTCTAACCACATGCCTTGCACGGTGGAAAATATAGTGCAGAGAGCCATGCAGTGGTGACGTGCCAGGGCAGTGGTGTGTGTCCCCCCCCCCACGGCAATGGCATTAGTGAGGCAGTTGAGTGAGTCTACCATGGTCGGTCCAACGGGGTCATTTGACAGGTCCTCGACGCCGCGCTGCCTGATCTCAAAAGCGCTCCCTTAGAACCAGGGGTCATTTTGTAGAAAAAGAGGTGCAGGAGCTCATTAGCATAACTCATTAGCATAACTCATTTGCATAGGCCAACCCCCCTGACATCACCGGAAGTGTGTCAGAAGGCGACACCCACCGCTCAGGCTCCACTGGACTGTTTTGGATTGCTAGCTATTGGGGGGGGGGAACGTGCAGATCTGTCCTCGCAGAGGAGGGAGAGCTTGTACCTGAAGAAAACTTGGTCTTAAAGGTGCCACTGGACTGCTTTGGACCGGGGAGCTCTGCAACTTACCTGGCTGCTTCTTGCTCTGACTGAGGGCTGCTGGGAGCAGGGGGTGGGCTTGTTGCATGTGCCTGCCCCCTGGGCTCTTTACTGCCAGAGCTCCTCTCCTGTGCGCTCCTGCAGGAAATGACCCCTGCTTAGAACATCGTAAGGGTGTTGCTTCATTGCAGGGGTGGCCAGACTGTGGCTCAGGAGCCGCATGCGGCTCTTTCATGTTTATTGTGTGGCTCCTGGCAGGGCAGCTGGGGAAGCTAAATATCATTAGCAAACAAATATCATTGGACAAATAAATATCATTATCGACATCTGCTTTGACCGCTTTTGTTATTAATTTCATCTGACATTTATAATGTCACTAGAAAGCAAATCTGCATATTTCCCAGTGAAAAACATGTAACATCTGTTCATGTCTTGTGGCTCTCAAACATCTGACATTTATTCTGTGTGGCTCTTACGTTAAGCAAGTTTGGCCACCCCTGCTTCATTGGAACCCCTAAACCAGGAGTCCTCAGTTTTGTCTAGCCCGCGGGGACCATTGGAAACAGGTCGTGAGGGCCACCACAAAATGGCTGCCATGGGGCGAGAGACAGACATCCAATCACAAAAAGGAACCATGAGGCAGGGGCCAAGCACAAACTGTTGGAAGCTCGCCAGACAAGGATCTGCTATGATGGAGCCAGCTGTTTCTGAATGGGTGTTCCCTGCAGGGAAAAACATGATACATCCTGGGTTTTCCTGGAGCATCTCCTGCTCGCCTCAGGTGGAGGAAAGCCAGGACTGGCTCTAGGGTTGCCAGATCTGGCTTGGGACACTCCTGGAGATTTGGGGATGGAGCCTGGAGCAGGTGAGATATGGGAAGGGGAGAGACATCAGTGGGGGATGATGCAATAGAGTCCACCCTCCAAAGCAGTCCTTTTCTCCAGGGAAACCGATCTCAGTCTGGAAACCCACTGTAATCCTGGGTGGCCCCACCTGAAGGCTCACTCTTTGGGGAAGAAGGAAGTGGGCACCACATGGGGATCACTGCACTACACGTCTTATTGGTAGAGCTCATACTTGGCATGCAGAAGGCCCCAGGCACAGTCAGTTGGCACCTTCAGTTAAAGGATCTCAGGCAGCCAAGCTTGGAAAGATCCTTATCCAGGAACCTGGAGAACTATAATCAGCCAGAATTGTTAATATTGGCCCTCCAGCCTGATCAGGACTGTGGAGATTTGGGTTCAGGTTTCTACTCAACACCTAACCTACCTTTCAGGGTTGTTGTAAGAGAGCTGGTTTGGTGTAGTGGTAGGGTTGCCAGGTCCCTTTTGCCTGCTGGTGAAGGGATGGGGGGACATTCCGGGAGTGGGAAGTGACGTCGCCCCTCATTCCCCCCCCGAAACAGTGACACTGCATGCAACGTACCTTCCTCACCTGGAAGTGTTCCCAGTCCCCAAGTGGGGGCAGGAGAACTGCCACTTTTGTGGGCTTTTGCCCGCCACTGGCCGGGTGTGTGTGTGTCCCATTCCCAATTGACCTTCCCAGGCGACTTCCGGTAAAACCAGAAGTGCAAGCCCAACGTGATGATTTCACCTGGTAGTGACATCATCACATCTGGGACTTCTGGGGGGGATGCCAAATTCGCCACAGAGTTTTGCCCAAAAACCAGAGCGTCGCCCCTGATGCCCCCAATGTGATGATGTCACTTCTGGGTGACAGCATCGTGTTGGGGACCCCCCCCGCACTTCCGGTTTTACTGAAAGTCACCTGACATCACTTCCGGTCTCCTGGAAGGATGTTGGGAGCCCCCTGCTGGCCAGGTATGTGGATCTGGCAACCCTAGGAAGTGACATCAGCAGGCGACGATGCTCTGGATTTTGGGCAAAACTCTATGGTAAAATCAGCATCAAACTATAGTTTTGCCCAAAATCTAGAGTGTCACCCCTGACATTGTTACTTCTGGGTGATGTAGGCACGTTGTGTGTGACATTGCTGTTGGGGGGGGGATTCCTTCCCGCTGGTTGGCAGTGGGCAGGAGCCTGCAAAATTGGGGGATCCCTCACCTCCAATGGACAAATGGCAACCCTATGTAGTGGTTAAGAGCAGCAGCCTCTAATCTGGAGAACCGGGTTCGATTCCCCACTCCTCCTCCACATGCAGCCAGCTGGGTGACCTTGGGTCAGTCACAGCTCTCTTGGAGCTCTCTCGGCCCACCTCTAAGTCTAGCCCGCCACCTAGCGGTGCATGATGCTAAAGAGCTAGCACTCCTGGCTGCCAGACAATCTTCAAATCTCCTGGCTACACTACACACACTGCCATACGATGATGATGATAGTGGTTGTTGTGAGAATATGGAACCACACGTGCCACTCTCCTTGTAAGAAGATCCATATATACATACCAATTCCAGAGGGGCAGCTGTGTTAGTCTGCTATAGCAAAATGACACCATGGGCTGGATCCAGACTCAATTTTCTGCTAACAGAAGGGGTGCAGGAACCCCCACCCACCCCACCACAGGACCCCCCCCCCCATTTGCCTCTCATGCTTTTTCTGAGTGTCCCCTGTTTCTCAGGGGCAGCATTTGGGGGAGATCAGTGGGTGGGGGAGGGGGCAGAGGAATGTTTTGTTCCACTGTCAGAAGAGCCTCGGCACGAGTAGAAAATGGAGTCTGGATTCAACCCTACGCTACTAGTTTACACATCCCACCCCTTAAAGCTGTCCATTTGTCTCACTGTCTCATTTCATCCTGCATTAGATCTGACCCGGGCCGGTCTCCTCCGTGCAGGCAACAGCTGCTCCTGATAAATTTCTGTCTGTCTGGCATCTGTTCAATGCAAATGAGCCCTACGGGGTGGGGGGAGGGAATACCCCAACTCTCATATTTGATTATTTATTTCGATTCTTTAATGATGACATCGTTGACTGGCGCCATCTGCTGGTTGAAAAACGAACGCGGTCTACTTACAGCCGACGACGCGCCTGTCTTGTTATCCCTAAGGAGGGCTGAGTTGTCGGGAATAGTCGGCCTGCCTCGTGCACGCTCGGGAAAATTCAGACAAGGGGGCGGGACTTCAGAGCCTGTCGCGTTGTCTGGTAAACGGCAGGGAGACCGTTCCTCGGCAACCTCCGGAAAGAGTCGGCTTCTTCCGGCCGAGCTCCTCGCCGAGCGAACTGGGACTAGCGGCCCGGACTTATTTCTCGGCCGTCTCCGGAAAGACTCGCCTTCACTTGTCACTGGCAAGGCAGGGAGTAGCGTCTGGCTAGCTTTCGGGAGCTTCCGGAAAGACTCGGCTCGTTCCGTCCCAGGCTCGACGCTGGCAGGAGGCGGCGGCGGCGGGGCGTGCGTGGCGCGGGGCGGCAGGCTGGCTGGCTCGGGGATGGCGTCCCCCTCGCGGAGGCTGCAGACCAAGCCGGTCATCACCTGTCTCAAGAGCGTCCTCATCATCTACAGCTTCGTGTTCTGGCTGAGCTCCTTCTCCACGCCCTGCAGCGCGCCCCGCACTTGGCTGCCCTAGAGAACAATGGAGCGGGCTCCCCCTCCAGCCCCACAGAGTGCAATAGTAGACGGGGCGGGTAGCGTCTCCCCTCCGCCCGTAGATAAGAGTGGGGCCCTGGTGGGGTCTCTACTCTTGCCCCGTTCCTGGTGGGCATCAGAGGGCAGGGCGGCGCCCCCCCCCAATAGATGACAGCAGGAGAGACTCTTATTCCGGCGCACAAACGATTCTTCCCCCCCC